ATCTGGGCGTGCACTTTGCCAGCTTTCTGCTGGAGATCGTCGAGGGCAATAACCCAGAGCAGCTGGTGGACATGGTCATTGCCCTGATACTGTCCTTCAATCAGCAATTCAGCGAAAACACATACAACGTGATCATCGAGGCGATGCAGAGCCTGCCCACGGCCAAAGTCTTTACCGAGAAGCTGCTGCTTCTGCTCAATCGGGAGGGTGAGTTGGGGTTGGGGTGCCTGACTGCTACTTGTGATGGCTTACCCGTCTTATCCTGTATCCTCAGATGACCCCACGCGACTGCTGAAGCATCCCAATGAGCATATGAACACGGTGCTCCGCATGTTCATTGACATCTTCAGTCACCCGGATACGGCTGGCATGTTCTACACGAACGATATAAAGGTTCTCATCGACATTGTGGTGCGGCAGCTGTCTGATCTGGATGCGGGCAGTGCGGTAAGTAGTACCCATGTGCCACGTGCCACGTACTGTTTTCGTTACTGTTTTGATTCAGACTCGTCCTTGCTACTTGGAGCTGTGCCGACGCATCCTGCGCAACACAAACTATCAGGAACACGAGCACCGCAAGCACGATCTTATGAAGATCTTCACACGCATCTTTTGCGAGGAGACCGAGTGCAGTGCCTCCGATCAGCAGCTGGTGCGGGAAATAGCCAACGAATTTCCACAGCTATTCAAGGCTTAAACCCAATACCAAACTGAAACCAAATTAAAGCGTTGCTAGTGAGGCGAGTCAAACAAAACAGCGAGCCAACCATTAAAAACAAAAACCTTAAATATTATTTATAGTTCGTATTGAAAGTTATTCAGTGCATTTGTATTGTTGTGCATTTGATCTTGGTCCTGAATAGCCCTAACTTCACAATGCATTTTGATCTATTCCGGATTGAGGACGCAAGAAAGCAGAGAGCAGAAAACAAGCAACAAGTGAACAAACGACTCCACGTACACAACATATATCTTATGATGAATATAGTCTGTAACCTGGGGGCAGGTAACAAATGTACTAGTTGCATGTGGAGTAGATGCAACCTTGTAGCCGGTACCACATTAGCAATACACATATGTACATGCATACACGTACAATATGTATGCCTACATCTACATATATGTATACATAGCAATACGTATAGTAGGCATAGGTAGTGTGTGGACATGCGGAGGGAATAGCCGTAGCAGTAGTCTACACTAAATTATTTTACTAATTTAGAGACGATGCTTTTAGCCAGAGAACCAGAGTCAAACAACAAACCAGAAAGAAACCAAACCAAACCAAAACAAAACCCTATTTCAATTCTATAGCTATAATTGCAAACTGATTTTGAAACTTTGAAACAGAAAAATTTGACAGACACTCAATGAAGATGATATTTATAGCATAATTATACATACATAAATAACGAAATATACATTCAATTCATAAGAAATGAGGAAGGAAATGTTAATTGCAATCTACAAGAATAATAACAATTACGATAATTATATTAACGATTATATACATACATACATACATACAAGATACATATATGACAAGTATTTGGAGCTAAAGTGCTAATTTGACAAGACAAACTAACAGAAAAACCAGTCATATGTTATATGTAATAGCAGGCATACGAGTGCATACAATGTTGAATTTGTTTATATAATCTATGCGGAGAACAGAAACAGAAACTAAAAAAGAACAAGGAATCATTGAAAATTGTTAAAGCTCATATATGGATTGGAAATGGAAATGGAAAGAATGGAGAAGTAGGTGGTTAAGGAGGAACTTAATTCCGCCTAAAAAACAAGCAAAGAAGGCAATGCATTTCTCTCCCTCACTCGCATACACACACGCACTCTATTCTCTATCTATCTCTCTCTCTCTCTCTGACTCTCTCTCTATCACTTTAAGGAAACATAATATTAAAATTGTTATAACTTGATCTTTTTATATATTCAACAAACGACTACACACACACACACACACATGAACACTTTTACACAGATCTCGTTCGCTCTGGAGGAGGTCTCGCCTTTCTTCAAGATATTATGATTTAACAATTTCAAATTGTTCGAGAAGCGATTTCGTAGTTGTTGTTGTCGTTGTTGTTGGAGGCAGCTGTGCAATATCTCACAATTGGTGAATTTTATCTACTATTAAGTTTATTGTTAGGCATTGTTAAATTGTTTAAGCAGAAACTTTTAATCAAAAAACCTACATGTGTATGTATATTTGAATAATTGCAGTCGATTTTTGTTCTTGTTGTGTGTTAAAGCCGAAACACGAGCTGCTGCTGATGCAAAAAGAAACGAATTTAATTTGCCATAATTTTCGTAGAGAGTAATAGATATTTACAACCATCAACTAAAAACTAAAACTAAACAAAAAACATTAAAAACGACGACGAAAAAAAAAACGAAATTACGAATGTGAAACGTGAATTGTCTTAAAATCAATTGCCTACAAATAATAATATTAATAACAACAAATTGTACCTTTCGATTTTGAATTAAAAACAAGATGAACACAATTATTGTAACTTAATCTTAACTTATTAATGATTATAAGAGGCCATCGCCACCTCACCCCGTGCACGCACAGCAGCAATACGAACAAAAAACACCCAATGAAAGTTAAATAATACGAGTAACTACATTACCAAGGAACAACACACGTTTAAGTCAAGCAAATAGAGCTAATTTTAAAGATTGTTAACTTTTCAGTTCTTAACTTTTAAAAACAAACAAGAGACAACAGAGATCCTACAACCGAAAATAGAATTACACAGTTTTAAAATGTATCGGGGAATCGAAATCGCAATTGTAAAGAAACGAAATGATCAAACACAAATAAAGGTAAATCTAATAACTCTGGTTAGTTGTTGGCCAAAAATGAGTTCAATAAATGTGCTTTCATGAAGAGACCCAACCCTAAGATAACACCATTTAGTGGTTAACAAATATTTATGTACTGTGTTGACAGCAAATCTGCCTGTATAAGCCATGTTTGCCTTGTGCGAGATATATGTATGCATTCGCATTACTGGAACACCATTTTTGTTAGAAATATGTCTTAGGTCATGAGAACTTGTTTGCGATTGCCTTGTCCTGTGCTAGGAATTCTGGTGGAATAGACGATCATTTTCTGTTCTATGTAGTGTGGGACAATATTGACGCGTTTACTGTTTTTCGTGTTGGAAATTTGTCACTGCACTCGTGCACTCGTGAGCCTCTGGAAAGATCCGATACGCGACCATCTCTAGTACAGGATTGGCAGAGGCAGATCCGAACCGAACCCATTTTCATTTCATCATTTTTATTCAAGCGGAAAAGGTTAAGGGAAAGCTAAGCAGTTTTCGAGAGTACTTGTGAAATTTCTGGGCGCTTAAATTAAGGATTTAATTTAAGCGCCTGGAATGAAATATCCCAGCACTCGTACGCACAATAAACAAATCGGTTTTTCGACTTGGGTAAGACGAATCTCTTGCTCTCTTTTTTCCATTTTACGAGTATACGGTCCCGTTCCGTCCCTTCATAGGCCTTCGCTTACGCAACGCGGGGATCGAATTTCACCGCATCCGCAGGGGCACCATCCAGCAACTAGCCAAATGTTTTCACGAATGACATGAAGGGCGTGCCCTGCAGGAAGGTTCGACAGGGGCGGGGGAAAGGATGAGAAGGACTCGCAAGGGCAAGGACCTTCTATACCTGCATACACCTAGCTTGCCTTGGAGCGCTACAACGTCAACAATTTCTTCCGTTTGACACCAGATTTGGCCGGAGGATAGCCACCGTTTGCTCCGTTTTGATGGGCTTCGGTTTTGCGTGTGGCGATCTTGCATTGCTCTCGCATGAGAGGTCATGCGAGAATTCTACAAGATCTCTACACGTTAAGTGCAGCCCATCAACACGCAGCAAACGGTGGTCATTCTAATGCCAAATCTGGTGTCAAAGGAAAAAATGTAGGCGTTGTTCCGCTGCCAAAGCAAGCTAAGTTCGTACAGGTATAGAAGGGCCTCAGCCACATCGATCCAGAGACGAATGCGCCCCCCCTTTGGCCCCGCAGCAGATGAACATCGTAGATGGCGATCGCCGCAGCAACAGCAACAACAGCAGAGCCTGTGGATATACGAAATCATAGAAATTGTCATGAAATAAATAGGTACAAACTGTATTTGATGCTTGAGCAAGGACTGAGAGGGTCCAGGATGGAGATCGCTTTATTGTATGGTCGACTGCTTAGTCGACTGTTATTTCAAACAGCTTTTGACTGTCTATACATGAATATGAATATACATGAATATGTCTAAAAAATGTAAATTTGAGAAAAGGTCTTATTAGTTACGTTTTATTTTCATATCAATATTTATAATTTCGTATAAAATTAACAAAATAGGGTATACAAAGGCCTATACTACGGCTTACACGCAATATAGCGACTCTTTTTTTGTTGAACTTTTTCGTTTAAACCTTTTTTTACAATAAATACAATAAAAGCAAGGATTAAAAACTATCCAATCTTGTAGAAAATGTATTCATCAATGGGATTAAACTATGTGGGCATTGCTGAGAGATTTAGTTAGTCAGCATTATTCAATGGAATATCAAAATTGAGCAATTTCCTTTTTCGTTTGTTTTGATTGTTTCGCTATTGTTTTTTGTTTGACTTATTTCGCTAAAACCTCCTTTTACGCAAAATGCAATAAAAACAAGTATAAGGAATACACCAGTTAAATAGAAAATTGATTCATCAATCGTGTAAAATTATGATGGCATGGCTAATTGTTCAATATAGCTGAGAATATTCCACGGAATATCAAAAACGAGTAATATGTAAAATATAACTTGAATTCGTCAGTATATTTACGGTATATTTGGTAAATGAGACGGTATATTTCTGACGGTCGGACGGTATATTTGATCGATAAGTCCGCGGTTACACTGAATGTGCGAGACAAGTAAATAAATATTTTTTCTCCGCTTTAAAAACGAATAAAAAGGAGGCAAAACGTATATTGCAGTGTTTTGCATTGTACTTAGGGCACAAAAGGTCAGTCGCAAGTATTGTAAGTAGCACTATTTAAACTGGGAAGCCACATCTACGGACGCTAGCCGCTCCAGAAAAGGTGTGTGTGCGTCGGCGTGTGTTGAGTGAACCAAAAAAAACAGTGCTACAAAAAACAAGAAAAGAAAGAGAAAAGAAGACGGAAGCCGAGAGAACGCGGTAGCAACAAGGAACCGAAATCAGATCGAAATTTGGTTTTGGACAAACCCAAAAAAGGTAAGTAGGGATCGGGCCTAATTTCTCTTACTACCATGTGCTTCGTATTCGGACAGGTTTTGTCGGTGTTTAAAGATTGATTCGAGATTGTGTGCGCCGGTTTTCCCAGATCCCATATAGGCAGCAACGATGAGTTTTTTGCCGGGCGAACCAGTGCCGCCCGGCTTCGAGGAAGACGACTCCTCGTCCCGCCCGGCAATCATACAAAAGCAACTTGATGATTACACACGCGGTCCATTAATTGGCACCGAATACTGCGTCGAGCTGATCGAAGAGGGACGCCTGGTGCCCAATTACTATTGTGTCCTGTGCAGCAACTACAACGATGTGCGAACGTTGTTTGTACACTGGACGTCGCTGTCGCATCGCAACAAGTACTTGCAAACACATTTCCAAAAGGCCTACGAGGTCCTGCAAAAGATACAGAAACGCACGCCCAACGGTGGCGGCGATCTGGTCATTGCCACCGGCATTCTTTGCCAATTGATTGAAAAACATTGCGGCCGTGCGCGTCGTATTGTGTCGGTGCCCAGCTCACAATTTAGTCAATATCGTTCGAAATTTTGCAGCCAGGTGCGTGACAAGTTCCATTTCGACGAGTTCTCTGGCCCCGATTTCGTGGAGGAGGCACGCAAACTGGTGCAGGATATGCAGCAGGAGGAGAGCAGCGACAAGATCGCGCCGAAAGAGAACAACAGCAGCAGCGTCATTGCCCTTGATGCCATCTCGAGTGATGACGAAAGCTTCGGCCCAAACCAAAAGCGAAGCCCCATCGACGAACAATCGCCGAGTGGCCGTGGGGCCAATCGTTCGCCACCGGCGGCCCGTGAATTGCCGAAACAACAGCTTCCCACGCCCAAAGAGCTGTCCATGCAGGCCTCGATCATTGCCCAGGAGCGCTACAAATGGGAGAAATTTCGCTGCATGCTCGAGCTGCAGCTGAAGCAGCTGCGCGATGAGACTGAGACATACGAATCGTTTCCGGAGAAGCATCCCGACTATCCGGACGAGTGGAAGCAGTTCTGGAATCGTCGCTACAAGGAGCTGCAGGAGGAGAAGAAGACCGATCCGAATAGCTACGACTACAAGCCCGAATGGATTAGCTACTGGAAGGACAGACGCGTCGAGCTCTTCAATATTGCAGTTGGAAAAATCAAAAAGGAACTCAAAGAGAAATTCAAGCTGGCCGACGAAGATGAGGAGAAGACCAAGGATCTCATGGAACGCTACAAGATACGTGTATCCAGTCCGCGTGAGGCATCAGCCGCCCCTTCGTCGGGGCCGCCCCATGTCCGCCGTAAGCCGAATTTTCGCAACAATCGAGGTGGCGGTGCTCCTGAAACTGTCATCGACATTAGCGATGACGAAACACCCAATCCATCATCGCGAAATCGTGCCCATTATAACAGACGATCTCGCTCGCATTCACAGTCGCCGAAGCGTGGCTTTGTGGGAGGAGGAAGCCGTCATCCAGGGCGCAGATCACGCAGCCGTTCGTCGCGACGCCACTACAGCAGACACAACGGTTCGCGTAGCCCGTATTCGCGCAGCCCTCAGCGGGGACGTCGCTCTCGTTCTCCGGTCTACTATCATCGTCGTCCTATGGATCATAAGGTTTTGTCATCTAATCATGGCCGACCGCGTGATGGTGGTGGCTACGCGGAACGTCGCAGCGGCGATCGGGAGCGGGACAGGGAAAGGGAAAGGGAACGCACCAGTGACGCAGATTTCTATCGCAGCGGCAGCTTTAGCCGAGGTACGGGTCATGCGGCGTATGAGCGCATGGAGACATTCCGTGTGATGGACTCGCGTGTCTATCCCGAATATAGTTTGCCCAAAAAGGCACGCTCCAAATCGCCGGATAAGGATACAGAGCCCCCGGTGGCCGACGATGGACCCCTCACTGTGGTCAGTGTGCTGCGCATGCTATCAGCCGTCGAGGATCATTTGGGTAGTCTCGGACCGAAGGCTTTGAGTCTGCTCAGCAAGGCTCTGGCCATGGAGATGGTGCGGCCAAATGCTGCCGAAGATCTGCTCCTGAACGAAGATAATTGTGTGTTCTTGGAGACAACCAAAGAGAAACTGAAGGGCATCCTCATAGCCGAAGTGCTGGATGATCCGCAAAAAGTGCGCGTTGTGAAAAAGTTGATCACGAATATAGCGGCCATCATCTTTCAAGTGAAAGAAAAAGGTATGTTAAACACCCCCCATTTATTTTTTACTCTAAGCCTAGCAGCTACAAATCCGCCTTATATCCTATCTTTTATCGCGTTTGATATGTGTGTGTGTGTGTGTGTGCGGTAAGTATTTAGTGTTCATTCTACGCCAGGTTTCTGGTCACCAGTTCTCAGTTGAGAAGTCCGTAAAGTGAAAGGTATCCCCTAGTCCTAGTATTCAACATTCGTTTTGTCCGTCGGCATGTCGCGCCTCCCTCGCGATTCTTCCCTTGAAGCTCGGTCGCGTTTGAAGCATCCTCTGGCTTCAGTTTTTTCTTCTTTTTTTTTTTTTGTTGGCTAAAAACCCGAATGAAAACCGATTTTGTGTGTGTCTTTGTAACCGAATGAGAAAGGTATTTAAGCATGGACTTTACACCGATGGATAGACTCTTTGAACCTATGTATGTCATTCCGTTGCAATGGGGCATAAACTTAGTTTATCTTTCGGCTAAACGAATAATATATTCATTTTTCAATAAATTACATAACATTCGAACGGAAACAAAGTTGATATTGAAATAAAACGTTGATCTGTTCCTTTTTTGTTTTCAACATGCTGGGGGTCCATCTTTCTCCACAATAGTCTTTAAACTCTCTTTTTAAGGGGACAGACGCGCGCACACAATAGCTGAAAGCGGAGCCGAATGCAGTTGCAAAAGCTCCTATAAGCTAGGCTGAGAGCTTTAAAAGCTCAACTAGATAAGCTCCGCTTTGTTTTTATTCTCGTGAAATGTCTACTCGTTTTTGTTTGCGCGATCGCAAAGTACATAATATCCAAATATTTTGAATATTTATTTGATTAACAATTTATCCTAAATATAGGATCCTATTAATATTTACCTGCTTTTAATATTAAGTTTAAAGGGAAATATAGGAGAGAGAAAAAGGAAAATATATAAAATGTGCCACGTGAAGACACATATTGATAAATATTTTAAGCAATAATTTTAAGGGATATTTGTGGGGATAAGGTGTGTTCGAGGCTATTCAAATTGTGTTATCGAAAGTTACGGAAAGGCCGGGGAAAAGTGCGGGCAGATCTATAGGGAACAGCAAGAATATAGACATATGTACATATAGTATGTAGCTAAGAGAAAGCTCATATCTACCTATTGAAAGCTTCTTTTGGCTCAGCTCCGTTTTCGGCTTATCTTTCAGCTATAGTGTGCGCGAGGCCTAAGGTCGTTATTCAGAAAATACTTGATCAATAAATGTGTATATATGCATACCACATGGTAATTTCCTTGTTTTTTTTTCGACTTAAATCGGTCCGGTATCGGTATCTCACGCATTTTGGGACACCATTTTGTACTTCTGCTTTTCCATTCCGGATGGAAAATGAACACCACAATGAACCCGTCGCTCGTTCGGACCCTTTTCGCGTTCGAGTTTAGCTTTCTTTCCTTTTTGGTTAGTGTAAAAAACAAAGTGTAAAATGAACGCCCGCAACGCCCTGTGGAAGCGAGATCAGCAAGCGTCCTTCCACCACCGCCGCCACACCATCCATAAGTATAAAATGTAATTTATTTCCAAATAATTCTGTTGTAATGTAATTCGATATTGATTTGATCTCCTCTGAGGGGGATTGAATCGCACACACACGTTTGTGTTTAATACATGACGATTGATTGACGATTAACTTTTTCCTTTTTTTGTTTTTGTGTTGTGCTCCTTTTTCGCCCGTTTCCCATGGGTGCATTCACGTACCATTTTAGCCAAGAAAGACGGCGGAAAAAGCAAGGCGAATCCCATACCGCCATCGCCCGCCCAGCTCCCATTCGATCGGAATGTTGTCTGCGCGAAGCTGGCCAGCGCATTGGTCGGCAAGGGCTACTATGATATGAGCAGCGAGGATATGGACAGGCTGTTGCATTTCTATGCCACGCTGGCAAAGATCGAGAAGAGCCGTCGGCTGGCGGGCAAGAAATTTCATTTCTCCGAAGTCCTCAATCTTCTGGGACTGACGAAGGACAAGGTTGTGACGGATCCCATTGAGATTGATATCGACGAGCTGATGAAGGAGGTGGAAAGTCATCTGCACAAGAAGGAGAAGGTGGAAACGGTGGTAGCGTCCAAATCGGATCCCACTGGCATGGAGTCCCTCACCGATTCCGATCTGCAGACATTGCTACAGAACTTCAAGTTCCTCTCCAGTGAGGAACAAGTCCATCTGATCGGGCATCTGCGCAAGCTTGAGGTCCAGGAACCGTTGCGCGTCGAATGTCTACGCAAGTATGTGAATCTGGCGGAGCTCAGCGGCGACGGGGAGTCCTGCAGTGATTTTCTCTCACGCGTCGCTGGCACCATCAATCCCGAAAATACTTCATCCGTCTCTGCTGCCGTTGCGGCAACTGTTTCATCGTCCAAGTCTTCTTTGGCTGCTGCTGCGGTTGCCACGGCTGCTGCTCTGTCCTCGCTGAATACCCATCGTCGTAGCTTTGAGCGTGAGATGCCCGCTATCCAGGGCGCCAAGCAGCGTCGCGTCGGACGCTCTTCCCCAGAATTCCTTATCGACGATGATGACGACGACGATTACAATTTTGATGATTTGGTGATGAAGGCCTGCGACTCGAATGGCGGCGGCGGTGCTGGAGGCAGAGGCGGCAGCGGCCTCCCGTCTGTGGTACCGGTTCCATCTTCGCCGAATGCTTTGACTTTCAAACCGGCCGCCGCTTCAAAGTTTTCGCTTGACACTGAATCGATTATAGCCAATCTGATGGACACGCTCACCAAGCAAGGTGGCGGAGGCGGAAGCAGAGGCAGCGGCAGCGGTGGCAATGGCGGTCAGCAGGCGCATCGAGAACGTGAAAATCCAACTGGTGCTAGTACTCCGGGTAAGTCTTCACGTGCCGCCGCAAAGAAGCTGCAGCAGCAACAAGGATCCAACAAAATGGGTGGGCTCAATCCCAGTCCCATGATGCAGCAACAGCAGCCGCAGCAGCAGCAGGCGGGATATAACCAGCAGGATGCCAATCCGGCATTCCATATGCAGTCGCATCATTTTGGTCAGGATCCGCAGATGCATGGTGCCACCACTTATAGCGGCAGCTACTCCTATCCCGGCTACTCGAACTACCAGGGACCTGGGCAGGAAATACCCGGCTATGGCGGTGTACCACTCAATCCCTGGGCCAACAATGGTGTCGTCCCCCAGCCGCCGCCGTACACCATGCAGCAGCAGCAGCAGCAGCAAAACTACACGGCCGCCCAGCAACAACACCACCAGCAGCCGCCCCATCCATCGCAGCAGTACAACAATATGTTTGGGCCTCGTCATTAGTTTAAGTTAACCTTAAGGCGATTTAATCTACATACACACATACATACTGCGTACGCATACACCCATACACAAGTATCAGTCTGCCTCTAGCTCATGCACACCCGGATAAGTGTGTGCGCAGTTTAGTTGCTAGAGAAGAGGTTCGAATTAACGGGATCCAACTGTTGGCGACATCTCCTCGATATCGATCATCAGTTTTGCTCCTGCCACGAGAAGGGAATTTTTTTTTTTTTTGTAAAACGTAACTGTAGGATGCACGAAAGTGAACATGCGTCAGCAGATTAAATAAAGAGCGAAACATGTTCAGGGCACTAGTCCGAACGGAACGGATCGAGAGATCGTACAGCGGCCACATTGAAGTCAAAGAAAGGTCAGGTCTTGCCGGCATCGTTTTTTTTTGGGTTTAGTAGGTAATAAAAATAAAATTTCACATTGTTTTCGGTAAAACAAATAAACTGAGAAATAATATGTAAAGGTATAAACTTTTGTACAAGAAATTGTTTGTATCAAGCGCCGAGATCTTTGCGGTACTGTTACCGGTCACAAGCCTATTGATACGTTGCAGAAAAAACATATTTTTACATTTAAAATGTTAAAATAAATGAATCAGTGAGCATCTGTCCCGTCCCCTTATTTGGCAGAGCAATAAAGATACATGTCATGATTGGGCGGACCTTTCAATCTGCACTCCAAAGTGTACAGAATATTTTTTTTGTAATAAAAAAATCATTTCAAACATCCCCCTTTTTAGCAGAACCAATAAAGTGAGCGAAAATGTAAAGCGGTAATCGATCCACTCTTTTTATGTTATCAAGGAACTAAACTCTTAACTACAGTGGGGCAACCGCATAAAGTCCACGGTCTGGGACTTTACAATATTTGGTATTTCGAGCTGCAACAACTGGTGCAGCGACTGGCCTGAGTGCCTGTATATCCACTTGCCGGCCTTGGGTGTGCCAACGTAATCGAAGCGCTTGGGACCGCTGGTGGGGGAACTTAACCAGATCTGCTTGTTGGGCGTCTGGCGGTTGATCACATAGGTGCCGTGGCTCTTGCCCAGATTCACTGTGAGTACACCATCCTGCCGCAAAGAAAAAATAAACACCATATAGCGTGATGTAACCATTGGGTGGAAAATCTGAAGACACTTGCGCCATAAGCCACGTCGGTGCCAATGAGGTCTGTGGCGTTCTCGGTCAGCTCCTCAAAATAGTCACACAGGCCGTCAAGGGTCTCGGAGCACACTCGCTCGTAGGTGGCCGTGTCCAGGGAGCTCTCCGTCTCGATTTGGCTGCTAAAAAGCCGCCGTCTCAAAGGTCCATTATTTTGATTGAAGACCTCGGAGGCCGTCGTTGCCGTAGGAACTCGGTTTTGGTTTGTGTTTGGCCAGCATAAGCTGTGATAGCCTGCAGCGGTAGCAGAACGTGTATTTAAGCGGCTGAGCCGAGCTACTACACGCCTGGTGAACATTGGGTTTGTTTATTTATAATTCCAATATTAAAGTGAACGATGCTGCCAACTTGGGTAAAACTGATTGTCAGAGCAGCACTTAGTACGGTCACACTTGCAACTAGCAATTGACGTAACCATCGATATATTCGATGTGCAAAATTTCTGCCAATAAGGTCCAATTAAGCATCAAGTAGTCAGTGAAACAACAGAAAAATAGTGTCGATCTGTTCCGTCCATGATATATCCCCTAACACAATCCATAATATTCATAATAATCCAAGTATATTATTATGATTCAAAGACATCGATATATTGATATAGTAGTGCATTTTTAACCATCCCTAATACCTCACACCGACGCAAACCAGAGAAAAATGGCGTCCACATGAAAATTTTTCTGTTGTTGTCGATGAAATAACCATTGAATCGTGTATAGTTTAGATCCAATTGCCGTTAAATAACTAAAACATTGTGAATGAATGATAATGGCGTTGCCGAGCAACTACAAGCAGATAGCAGTGGGTGCGCCAACGGGCCCCGGACCGGTAACACCGCTCCAAGGCGGCAGCCGGTCTCGTTCGTCTGGCGGCGGTGGCGGTGGGGACCGGAACAAGGACCAAACGCCCATCTTCACGCACAGCAACTATGGTAATCCGGCTTTCACACCACAAAAGGTGACGAAATCATCCAGCAGCAAGAACCAGAACGAATCACGCCTGCCCAAGCCACCGAAGCCGCCAGAAAAACCCATACTGCCCTACATGCGGTACTCAAAGCGGGTGTGGGACATGGTAAAGGCTCAAAACCCGGAGCTAAAGCTGTGGGAGCTGGGCAAAAAGATCGGCGCCATGTGGAAGCTGCTCAGCGATGAGGAGAAAACGGAGTTCATCGACGAGTACGAGGCGGAGAAGGTGGAGTATGAGAAGGCGCTCAAGGCATACCACCAGACGCCCGCCTATCAGTCGTACATGTCCGCCAAGAGCAAGTTCAAATCAGATGTGGATATGCACGAGACGCCGTCCCGCGGCGGTGGAAGCAAATCCCATGAGCGTCGCATCGACATCCAGCCAGCGGAGGACGAAGATGACCTGGATGAGGGCTACACGGCCAAGCATATGGCATTTGCTCGGTATCTGCGCAATCATCGCCTGATCAATGAGATCTTCTCGGAGGCTGTGGTGCCGGACGTCCGATCCGTGGTCACCACCACACGGATGCAGGTCCTCAAGCGGCAGGTGAGCTCCCTGACGATGCACCAGACCAAACTGGAGGCGGAGCTGCAGCAGATGGAGGAGAAGTTCGAGGCGAAGAAGCAACGCATGGTGGAGTCTAGTGAGGCCTTCCAGGAGGAGCTGAAGCGCCACTGCAAGCCCGCCGTCGATGACGACACCTTCCAGAAGATGGTGCACCGTATGTACGAGGACATCAAGCGTGATCGTCAGCGGCTTGACGAGCCCATCAATACCAACAACAGCTCCTTGACGGGCCCCGTTTCTGCGCCCGGCGGTGGTGGTCCCACTGCGGTGGCCAGTAGGAACGAGGAGGCCTCCAAACAGCAGCCACCGACGCAGCCCGGCCAGCCGTCAGCAACACCGGCGCCAGCACCAGCCCAGGAGGCGCCACCGGGACCAGCTTTGACCCCAGCGAAAGAAACGTCAGTGGTCACCGTCAAGCCGCCGCAACCTAATCAACTGCCAATACCAGCCCCTGCGCCCCCGGTTGTGCATGTCCATGAAACTGCCAGCAAGACGGATCCAGAGCCCATGGATATTGAGCCACCGCCAAAGCCCTCAGTTCCTCCGCCACCCATCAAGCCCGAGAAGCTGGAAATGGCCGCCGCACTGCCACCACAGTCGACCGTAACGATAGGAGAACCACCCAAGGATGTGCTGAAGGTGTTGCCACCCAGCAAGGTGCCAACGCCGACGCCCGTGCCAACGCCCACACCACCGCCACAGCCGATGGCTGTAAGCGAGGTAGCGGGCGCCAACCCAGGAGCACCGGGATCTGTTCCAACAGCAGCGACGACGCCAACGCCACCGCCGATAAGTGTACAGCAACAACAACAGGCACCTCTGCCGCCACAGCAACAGCAGCAGGCACCACAGCAGCAACAGCAAGCGGCTCCTCCTCCAGGTATGCCGCAGATGCATCCACATCCGGGCCATCCGCCACCGGGCCATCCGCATATGCCACCCCATATGACGCCGCATCAGCCGCCGCCAGGAATGCCGGGACTGCCGCCACCACCTCACACGGGTTATGCCAACTACGGGGGACCGCCGCACGGTCCACCGCCGCCGGGCGGTCCAACACGTTCGCCCTACTATCAGCCCCAGTACGGGGGCCATCCCACGCCGCAGCCCTACTATGCACCCTTCTCCCCCTATCAGCAATCGTACGGACCACCGCCCGGCTCCCACTACATGTCGCCGCGTCCACCGCCACAGCACAATGGCAATCCGGGTCCGGGCGTGCACTATGCACCCGAGCACGGCAATAATCCACCTCCGCCACCACAGCAGCAGCAGCAACAACAACAACAGCAGCAGCAGCAGCAACCGCCTCCGGGACACCTGCACGAGCCGAGTGGAGGAGCAGTTACCGGATCCAGTGTGGGAGTGGGAGTCTATGGCCAACAGCCGCCACCTCAGCAAACAGCGCCTCCCAGCAGCGTCGGACCAGGAGCAGGACCAGCGACACCAGGCGGACCACCACCACCATCCGGAGCGGCAACCGGCGAGAATGCAGCACCGACACCCGTAACAGCGGCGGCACCACCTGGCAGCAAGCACGCAGGAGATGCGGAGAAGCATGAGACGGCGGACTAACTGGGACTTGTACCATCTACCCCATACGCATACTCAATCACACATCTCAATCAGCTCCTAGATTTAGTTTTTAGATTATTTTATACACCTCTATTTGATACGCGCCGACCCACGCCCCGTGCTGTAACATAGCTGTCCCTCCCGCCCGTCTTGTTCCCAGATGCTGACTCTCCTTACATTGACCCCCGCATATCTCTCCATCCCTACCCGTTCACGTGGGACGACACAACAATTTCATTATGTAATAAGTGGAGAAATACACCTGCCCCCCTCTTTTTTTTGTGAGCTCTGAATATTATATTTTGTGGGTCGTATCCAGACGATTACGACGAAATATACGATTAAAAATTAAATATAAAACGAAAGGAAGATAGATTGAGTGCTCCTATGAAAGCTAAATAAGAATTACGGATGTGTTTCGCTGAGTTATATGTGTATAATGATGATTAAACATACAATTTGTAATGGTTTATTTTATATATTTTTTTAAAGAGCATTGAGAGAAATGATATAACTAACCTGATACTTGTGTTTCTGCTGTTAATCGTTGCAAAAATCAGCATTAGGATATGGATCGGATCGGATATGATACAAGGGAATTCATTTACTAGACTCCAGTGGCCATTATCCTGGTGTTGTGGGTGGTGTCTGTTTTTGGTACTACACTTGGCGGTAGGGCGAGTCTGTCGTCCAAGCGCGCCAAATTCAAACACAGTGGCGCCGCCAACTTAAGCTTAAGCTGTGGCCATAATTGGAACTAAGCGAGAAGCTTTAATGGGAAAGAAACAGTTAACTTTGTCAAAAATGGTACATATGTACATATACATATGTATATGCACATGAACTTATGCAAATTGCAAAGCAGTGGTGGGGCGGGGTCAGATCAGGTCATCTTTTAATTGTACACCTCCGTTGCCATATGGCGCCCAGTTATTCCACGACCAGCCGCCAATCCATCCACCCACTTGCACGCTACACACCAACACACAGGCCGTACTAGAAGTCTCTCTCTTTCATAAACACACACACATACAGCTTCGCAGAGATTATCAAACACGTCGACAGAGCAGCGCAAATGACGTTGCTCATATTTTGTAGGCAACTGTACCATGAAGCTTGCTCTTTACACCCCTCCCCAAACCCCACCAAATGAAACACGCTCATGAATTTTTTTTTTTGGCTTCTTCTCTAGAAAAAACCGTTTATTTTTTGTGTGTGATTGTTGTTGTTTGTAGTTTAAAAGAGTTTTAGGGTTTACAATTTGTTTAGCCATTTGTTGGGTGTTTGTTTTTTCGTTAATTGTATCTATTGGGTAATTTTGGATGTTATCGAATGCTATAGGTTCATACTTCTTATACGCTCTTCATGTAATCTTAAGGATAATGATTTCTGCTGAATTTTGTGGTAAACTATTTCTATGTATGTTTGTATGTATATAATGTATTTTTTTAGTATATAGCATATGTATATAATATTGGGTAATTTGTTGTTAAATTTTACGTTTGTATCTGCAATATGTGTGTTTTTGAATTCCCCCAACCCTCAACCATCCAAGGGGTTAGCGTTCTGTTTCTGTTCGTTCTCTCTCGCCTAAACGTATAAAATGCATGTAATTCTAAAACTTATTTAATCAACTACCTTCGTCCCCGCTCCCCACACAGAGAGAGCGGAGCGAGCCGGGAGCCACCTGTTTTATTCCGTTCGTTTCGCTCCCTACTCTCGCCGCAACACACAGGATGGTGGATGGTATACGTGTGTCGTCTATTCTTGTAACGCTGTTCTGTTACGCGAGTATGCGGGATTAACGAAAGGAAGAAAAACAAGATATATATTTATATCTAGTGTCTACAAGATGTATGTATGTATGATTTTTTTACGTGGTATATGTATATATGTTTAGAAATAAGTGTACTCAATTCGGTCTTCGGTGTTATGTTGGATACCATTTTCACATGTTGTTGTTGTTTTTGTTGAAGTTGGGTCTTTAAAGTGTGGTGTGCCTACCAGCCGTTCGCTCGCCGTTTCACATGGACATCGCTCCCTCGCCCGGCATAGCCAAACCGACCATACCGTTCTGTCGCCTTGCCACACGCAAACGCCGCTCACTTGCTGTTACCGGCAGTCCCCATTCGCACTCGCTTGGTGATTGGCGCGGCATGCCCCATGCAGCAGCTTCTTTCGGGACCACTCCACAGGGCAATTAGTTTATGGGATCTGCTAGCAAACAGCGCGACGTCCACGACAGTTGGAGATGTGGTGGCGATGTTCGAGACGACAAGAGCGGCGGGCCAGAAGGTCATACCTTTTTGATGGGTGAGAGAGCGAGCCATAGTGTGCGACGCAGCGACGACGGTGGCTTACAATATAAATGTATATATAGAAAAAAAACTTAAACTAATGTACAATTATAATAGCAATAATAATAATGTGTTACGCATATGTGTATGTAAGTTTAAGTTAAATCTTCAGGGACCATATGTTGATACGAATCGGGCGTCCGGGTGTGTTTGTGTGCCCGAATGCCAGTTATAATGATTAAATTAAAAAAACTTGTTCTTCCTAAACTATTCTTAGCTCGAAAACAAAGATGGTAAGTGTATACATGTAAGTGTATGAATGGATGATTAATCAACTCTTTTTTGTTTTCCCCTTCAATGCGGCATGACCATTTGCATAATGTTTGTGCTGCTTGTTGTTGTTGAGAGCAGTACAGCGCTATCGCGAGCATTGAAAAGGGAATTGTTACACTCAACTGTGGACATACTCCTCCTTAAGCACGCTCGCCTCGGATGCGGCGCGCCAACTGAATGTCCTTGGGCATAATAGTGACGCGCTTAGCGTGGATAGCGCACAAGTTGGTGTCCTCGAAGAGTCCCACCAAATAGGCCTCAGAGGCTTCCTGTAAAATGTACAGACATCGGCAGTTTTAGAAAACTCTTTCTTTCTCTTTCGTGGGGAGCATCTGGGGGTGAGGGGGACGTTATGACACGAGACTCACCTGAAGGGCACCAATGGCAGCCGATTGGAAACGGAGATCGGTTTTGAAATCTTGAGCAATCTCACGAACAAGACGCTGGAACGGCAATTTGCGGATAAGCAGCTCAGTCGACTTCTGGTAACGACGGATTTCACGAAGAGCAACCGTTCCGGGACGATAACGATGTGGCTTCTTGACACCACCGGTGGACGGGGCCGACTTCCTAGCGGCCTTGGTGGCCAGCTGCTTACGTGGAGCCTTGCCTCCAGTTGACTTACGGGCGGTCTGCTTAGTACGGGCCATTTTTCTTCTTTATTTGAATCAAAGACTGCAAAATCGTAAAGAATTGAATTGATTTTTAGTAACTGATTTTTGTGAATTTGAGTGAAGTTTCTTCAATAACAGGATAAACACTGACTTTGATCCTATTCTACACTTTCTAGACTTAGATTAGAGCCCAGAGCCCAAACGGGCGATGCTCAGCGCCGGAGCACTGGCAGCCAACTGTGGCCGATGAGTCCGCTGTGGCCCAGAGGAAACCCCAGCGAGGGTTGAAATCTTTGGCCAGCTGCTAGCCGCTGCTGGTGCTGCGCCGGCTGCCTCTACATTTTCCCTTTGCCGGCATTCGGCGCTTTCTGGGTAACACTTGAGAAACATCCACTCGTGTGGCGACGTACGACGTCTGGTGTCTTGGTGGGCTTGGACTTGGGCTTGCAGCCTCAGTCGTAGCTATGGCAGTGGCCCCCGGCGGCGGCAGAGGCAGCAAGCAGCAACTTCGCTTCGAGTGCCTCTTCAGCGCGCTCTTGAGCCATTGTGCGAGTGCATATATTTCTTTTTCCATGAGCACACAACATGATTCGATCTTTTTCCATACTTTTTGTGAGTTGTTTCCGCCGTGCCATGCTGGGCCTTTCTTTTTTTTTTCGTGCTGCGCGCCTCTTCAACTTATTTTTTTTTTTTTTATGCGGAATCAATCAAGTTGAAGTAATGATTCGTGGTTTTACATTTCCCTCTATTTCTGTTAATTTTACCCAATATTCTTCATCGTCTTCCTCTTCCCGATCTGCATTGGCCTGGAAAAATATGCATGGAACAAACACACTTACTTTCCAGAGCGGTGGTTTGTACGTGTGTGCGAAGTGAACGTAAAATTGTACGAAGCGCCAAAAAAGTAAACAAACAAAACAAATTATTGCGTTGGCGCGCATTAAAAAGCGCCAAGACAAAGAGGGATGGCATTACTACGATTGGCGTTAGAAAGAGAGCGCCTGTGGTTGTGGCGGCCAGGCCAGCCAACAAATTGCGTCGTTTCTCAGCCTACATGTGAATTCGTGTGCGTGCGGGTCCGTCTGTATGTGTATGTGTATGTGTGTGACAGCTGCACATCCTAACGAAACTCAAGACAAGAGAGAAAATGATGCAAGCAGGAGGGGGAGGGGGGGGGGGGGGGGGGCTGTAATAGACTAACTGTAATGCGGGGTGGGTGGAGAACCTTCTGGAAGCACAAATCATGATCCAAGACCAATGCGCATGACTAGTCACACAAATATGCAGTTGCACTTAATATATACATGTGCATATTCACGTGTATTTTATTCTTTGCGCGCCTTTTTTTATTCCACAAAACTGTATTCATTTGCCTCCGATTATTAACTTTCGTTGCCCACATATACATATACATATATGTATGTCTTTGAACAACTGTGTGCTCGTACAGCACTCCACAAAAATATAAAACAATCACATGAGTATATATGGATGTGTGTATGTGTTGGTACAGACACCCATACAAAAAGCAAAAGCCCATACAAATTTAGATATTGTTAAAATATATAGATATTTTAAGTGCTCTCTTATGCGCTGTTTTCGTTTCCAACTGTCTCGAAAATTCTCACAGAACTGTTTAAATAGATCACTTTTTAATACATTATTTTGTACATGCATTCGAGTGTGTGTTTGCATGTGTGTAAAAATTCATACCAAAAAAGCCACCGCCTGAACAATAAATAAATTACTTTATCTTACAAACAAAAAATATGTACAAATATTTTTGGCGCCCTTTTTGATGATCCAATCTTTCCATACACACACAAAACTTTAGAACAATTACTTGAACTATTTTGTTGCTACTCTCCTGCTGTCAGCCATTTTGAAAATTCGAGCAACAACAAACGGTACCCCACTTCAATGCATCCATCGTGCAAAACGAAGTCACCTCTCACGTCGTCTTCGTGCATTTGTGTGTGTATCCGTCGGACAAGAAAAAAAACTATATGTAAAGCGGCACTAAAAATCAGCGCTCCGCTGATCCTCCACCGGAACCCCAAAAATAAAAACATGCAGACGGACGTCAAAAGTTGGGGGCTCCGCCAGCCGTCAAGTAGAGCCCCGAAAACGAGAAAAATTAACATTTAGAGCTCCAACGGTTGGCCAGCGGAGCACCCCAAAACCAGGTACAAATATATATATGCAAGCATACATGTAAAAACGGGGCTCCGCTAGACGGCCGCCGGAGTCACGCAAACCAAAACACATCCCCACAAATTTCTACCGCATGTTATTTTCACAAATCATTCCCCCCTAGCTACTAGCAAGCTAATCTAAAGCCAGAAAATATATTTTAACTTAGTTTAAAATAGCACTCACCGTTTAATTAGTTGAACAAACTATAAATTTCAAGACTTTTTCACAGAGAACGCACACGACGAAAAACGACGACGAAAAACGATTTCACAATGACCCAATGTGACCAGCAGACCCCCAGAAATATACCAAAATAAACGGTCTCATTTAAAAAATATACCGTAAATATAATGACTAATTCAAGTTCTATTTAGCATATTCCTCGTTTTTGATATTCCGTTGAATAATGCTGGCTAACTAAAACCCTTAGTTCTGCCCACATCATTTTAGGCCGTTGATGAATCAATTTTCTACTTGACTGACTTATTTTAAATACTTGCTTTTATTGGATTCGTATATACCGTTGAAAATAAAAATTAATATTTTAAAATTTTTAGTACCCACTGGTCGACAATGGGTTAATTGTTCTCTGTCCATGATCGAAAGTCAAATTTAGTTTGATGTACACAATTAGCTAGCGGGGACCCTTATCTCTGAACATATAATTTGATTGATGAATCAATTTTCAACAAGATTGGCTAATATTAAGGACAAAGGGAGTCTTTGATTGATTGAATTTATTATAAAAAAATTGAAACAAAAACGGTAAACAGAAATGTAAATTGTTACATGTTGTATTTAATACACGGTATATACACATTTGCTATATATAAACTACATTTTAATGTAGTTGTTTCAGTCTCTACATTTAGTTGGCGCGCACTAAAATCAGTTGCAACAATGTTGTATAAATTGCTATACCTTCTGCTCAACTTTTGAAAAGACATTTGGTTAAGCTGGGTAGATCCTGCCCGATAGCCCTGCTCCTTCAAAAATTATGAATTATAGCCATTCCACTAAAATCGACTTGAACTGACTGGAACGGCAGTGAGACTAGCCATAAGAACCTTATGGGAGAAGCCGGCAGTGTGAGCGAGATAAATATAGGCTCGGGCTATTGCACTAATGATATTGAAACATCGATGTTTCTTCCAAATCTGAATATACAAATTTTACATAATCGGTAGGTCAAGCATGTACAAGTTATGGAACGAATGTTCTAAAAACCAACTTTGTGTACATATGTATGTAGATGTCACACCTCACACCTTTAACAAGAGCTCTCTCGCTCATTCTCGTCCAGTGCCGGCTCCAGGCCAAGTGAGAGAGATATAACAGAATGGAAACATCTTGAATATTCGGTGGAACGATCTGTAAGAAACATATTGTATAAGATAGTATTTATACAAAATTCTACCGGATAGAATAGTATAACGGCACGCGTGCCGCGACTCCCTATGATATCAAAAAAGGGGGCTTAGTGGTGAAAAGCAGTGTAAAATGATTTTAATTTTGATTGCATTGCATTAAAGATGCAAGCACGCTGGTTTAAAGTATTAAATGTTCATTTTATTGCGACTTCTTGTCCTCCCTGAGCGGTTTGCCGAGGGGTTCGTCCTTGAAGTGAAGGAACACAAACGAAAAGATAAAGACGCCAATCATCATAGAGAAGGCACTCGTGTAGTACGGGAAGGCGCTGGGAATGAAGCGCTCGTACTGTGTGTGTTCTAACGGACGCACCGACACCTGGGTGGTGCTATACAGATGGGTGTAGCCGACACGATTGTAGTCCACCTTGAACTGGTAGACGCCGTAGACATCGGGTATCTCGAACCTGGCCTCATAGCTGCCCGTCTTGGTCTGCTTCAGGAAGGTCCTCACGAACGGATCGATGCGCACAAACTCCAGCTGGATGTCACTCGCCTTGTACGCCTGCCACTTGCCAGCCACCAGCTCCTCAATGGCAATGGTGTAGATCACGGGATCGGTAATAGTGTACGCCTCCCCTGGGGGCAGCAACTCGCCCTCCTTGTGGTGCTGCACAGAGGCAACGCGTAGGCGGCCGGTCTCGCCAAAGACCCACTGGCTGATGGACTCAGCGACGACGCGATTGCCGGAGAGCTTGTGGAACACACCGCTCTGAGCATACTGGACAGCCGTGGTGAAGCTCTCGTCCGAAAAGAAGAGCAGGGATCCAGAGAAGACGACGCGGGCATTGTTGCGCGCCTGGAGGGCGGCAATCAGCAGAGTACCGCGACCCACAGCATGCGGGTAATCGGTGACACTGGACTGAGGATTGTAACTGTACGCGCTGCTCTCGGCGGTGAGGAGCTTTAGGACCAGTGGGTTCTCCTTGTCGGCAATCAGGCCCGTTCCTCGGTACACCAGTGGTGCCGAGTCAGCCTTGCTGTTCTCCTTGCCAACAATGGTGTCGGCCTGGATCAGGTTCTTGGCCGAAGTCAGGATGGTGGTGTGCTCGCCAGCATCGCTGACATCGTAGTTGAGATGATCGATGACTGCAGCGTTCTCCTCGTCCAGCTCGAAGCCGCACTCCGAGGCGAACTCCCGCAGCGCATCACCGGACTTTTCACTGCCGGCCACCAGAACATTGCCACCGTCGTCCACAAACTTGGCCAGACGCTCCACACTGATGTCGCCGCCGAACTCCTCCACACTGGGCGCAAAGATGATCACATTCTTGTAGAGATACTCGCCATAGCGCGACAGCAGCAGGCTGGAGTCGTCCGCTAGCTTGTAGGTTAGCTTAAACCCGCGATCTGCAATGGAATCAATTTTTCCGCAATCAAAATTTGTACACGTCATAGGTTAGGAAGCCGAAGCCGGGCGCGGTGACTCTTACCCTGCAGCGATTTGAAGAAAATCGAGTGGGTCTCGCGAATGGCCAGATTGTCGAGTAGCACCAGTGTATTGGCATCTGTCTGCAAAACTGCATTGCTACTATAAATGCCCAGGAGGGCGATTAGTGCATATTTCCACATATTTGACAACCTTTTTTTCACCGCACCGGCTTTTGTCACAAAAAAAAGAACCACTATAAATGGCCGCGACAATGACAGCTACGCGTTAGTGCTTTTCTCACTGCGCGTTGTTTATTGAGCTCAGTAAGGGTATTGTCGATAGTGTGGAATCTTTCAATCATTCAATCGAAAAATCCTTGAAATGGATCTACTAAACACAATATGAATATGGTAATCCAATATCCTTGAAATTAATTTCCCTTAACATTATTTAATTATAATACAATAATTCCAACACGTTATTTTCTAATATAAGAGTCGATAATCTCTGCTGCTGTGCTGCACTCAGACGTGAATAACGTGAAGTGTGATGGTACACGAACTACAACTGTTATCCTACCAATGATATTAGATGGATATTATAACTTACAGAAATAATGACCTGTCTGATCTTGAAATATGCATATTAAGCATTCATTTTTTTCAAAATAGATCGAACCGTATCAGGGGTTTCACATTTTCTTGAACACCGCAGATGTAGCGACCGGCTTCCATGATGGACGCAAGCCAAGAAGCATCATAACAAAATATAGGAGTATTTATAGATAATAGAAGAGATAGGACTGGCAAGAAAGTACAATGGAAATATTCGAAAGCTGCTGTCGGACTTGCGGGAGCGAGTGCCTGGAGGCCCTTAACATTTTTGAGGAGAAAATCACGGTCCTTAATAAGAAAGTGACGCTACTGGATATACTTGCAACCTGTTTGCCCTCGTCGCTGCCATCCTTAAATGAAGACGATGACTACCCCAAGCAAATCTGTCGCATCTGCGTAAAGAAAGTAATCCTGGCCTACGAGTTCCACGATACCTGGATAACCGCCCACGCGGAATTCAATGTGGCACTGAAATTCGAGCAGAGACGAAAGCGCAGCCTGGCTACCCGGACACAGGCGAAACCCAAGGTAGACTACCCGGCGTACCCCTCCAGAGGCGATGCGATCGAGGATGCTCATCAGACGGATGATTGCCCCAACACGGTGGTCTTCAAAATAGAGCCTGAAACTGGTAGCAGCGCATATACTAATCTTATCAAAATTAAGTAATCCAACACTTTTCCATCTTCCACCTCTCATGCAGCACCATCTTCCACAGATGTGGCGTTAGAGTTGCTGACGGAGGCCACGCCGACAAAGGATGGCACAAGCATCAAGTGCGGATTCTGCGAAGAGCGATTTCACACGACAAAGGCCTGTAGATTCCATTGCAGATTCGTGCATGGGGTATAGTAAAGTCAATAACTCCAACTCCATTCCATTGTGTGTACGTTTAAATGTTTGTTTTACTTAGCTATAGCATAAAGCAAAAAAAAGGTGCAGTGAGAATGACATTTTCCGCTAGTTTGTATTGGCTTTTCTTTAATCGTCCTCATCGTTGCGCACCTTCTGGGCACGGGGATCGTCGTGACGGAAGACGACATAGCCCAGCTTGTAGCGGCGGTTGTCGCCGTCCTTGGCATAATAGTTGGCCACTCCGATTCCGGCCATCACGATGCCACAAATGGCCAGGGCAGAGCCGGCGACGATGTCAGGTATCTCGTTCCAGGCGCGCTTCAGCAGCGACGTTGTGCCACGGGCGGCGGGTGCAGACATCTTCGTGCTCTGTAAAAGTACGTTGTTTTAGTGCATTTTCAAGGGATATTTTCCAAATATTTACAAAATTGCCGTTTCAGTTACACAACAAGCAGCTGCTCGTAGGGATGATGTTGAATATACGATTTATCGATAGATAGAAGTGGTGATCGGAATGCTGCCATATGGCAATTTTTACATGAGTTCTACATGTAATTTTGCAAGGTGTGTGACTAAGAAAAGGAAAAGACGCTACAAAAATCTTTGCAAATAAAATTTGTTTAATATATTCTTATGAACGACTGGATGCGGCCTTGAATAGAGTTAATTTGTATTTGATTTAAGATAAATGCCTAGTGTACGAGTAGGGCAACGTCACGACATCGGTTATCACGCATCCTGCTCATAGTTTTCGGTCTTCATGTCGTTTAGACCCAACTGCTCATTGTCGTCGAAGGAGCGATCATATCTCTCCACAATCAGTTTGTCGTCCGCGTCTCTATCATCATCGCTCAGCGATTGTACATAGGTATTGCCAGCCGGATCCTCCAGCACCAATGTGAGGACCTTTTCCAGTTTCATGACGGCATCGAATGTCTCAAGAAATGTATCCATTTTCGATTTTGTTTTGTCATCGGCCGAGTCATGGAAGAAGGTGCCGTCCAACTGGTCGCGCATGGCCACCAGTAGACCCTCGATGGTGGTGAAGCGTCCACAGAGGGCATGGGGTCCCACCTCCAGATCAAGTTCGGGTATCGAAAGACTGCACGTCTCGGACTTGAGCACATCTCGCGAGAGATCGTCCTTTGAGGAAATGCTAACCTTGAAGCGCACACCTTGCTTCTCGACACCGCCTCCCGACTTCACCTCGTTCGTCTTGTGGCCACAGCTGCCGCAAACCGTGGCCATGATGACCACTTCCTTGAAGTGGGGTATCTCAGTCAGCTTCATGTTCGTCTCGCACGGCGCCTGGCAGTTGGGACAGTTAGTGGCAAACTGCAGAACTTCGCCCTGCAGATTATCGATGGGCCACTCGTCCTCGGCGATGGGCTGCAGCAGATGATCATCGTGATTCTGCTCGTAAAGACCTGGTGGGGAGAAGAAGTGGGAGTTATCCACGAGAACGCTGAGGGCATGGCGACAGACAGTCTCACCTAACACTTACCCAGTTGTTCGTTTTGCTGCTTGGACCGAGTGAAGAACGCCGTCTTCAGCTGTGGATCTGTGGCTGGTGCCACAATGTTCTCAATGAAGCTGTTACCGGAAATGTCCTCCAGCAGCAGGCGAAAGGGTTTCTTCATTTCCTTGAGCTGCTTTAGTCGGTCGATGTAGTTATCAATAGATGCTGCCTCGGTGGGATGGTCGATGCGGCGCTTCTCCTGGTCCTGCGACAATCCGGCAACGGTGCGCTCGATGATCCCCTCCACCGTGGTCACTTCTCCCTTCTGCGATTGCACTGGAATCTCCAGCTCCACCTCAGGTATTTTGATACTGGAGTTGTCCGACCGCACCACCCGGCGATTCAGATCGGCTGCCGTCTTTGCCTCCAGCTCGATGCGTATGCCCGACTTTTGGATCTCGGATGCGGACTGCATCTCATTGTTCGAGTAGCCGCAACTGTCGCATTTAAAGGACATGATCACCACCTCGCGAAAGAAGGGAATTTTGGTGGGCAGCACTCGGGTGATGCCATTCTTAAAGCAGCTCATGCAGGCCGACTCAATCTCGACAACTTCCTCCGTCTGATCGGCATTTATTTCCCGGAAAATCGCCTCCGGACGAGCCTCGGCCACGCTGGCATTCTTCGCAGTGCCCACCGTTGACATTTTTATAAAAATAAAATATTTCTTCTGAATAATACAACGTGCCTCAACAACAACAATAAACAGTGGACTTATCGATAAAATATACCGTCCGACCGTCAGAAATATACCCCAACATACCGTCTTACTTTAAAAATATACAGTAAATACACCGACGAGCTCAAGTTCCATTTTACATATTCACCAATTTTGATATTCTGTCGAATATTCCTAGCTATATAGAACATTTAGCCATGCCCACATAATTTTATACGATTAATGAATCAATTTTCTACTTAACTGGTTTATTTTAACCACTTGCTTTGATTGCACAAAATGTGTAAAAAAGGTTTTAGCGAAAAAAGTCACACAAATGAAACGTAATAAAGCGTAAGAGAAAAATCGTTCCAATTGCTCAATTTCTTTATTCCGTTGAATAATGCTGCCTAACTAAAACCTTTAGTTCTGCTCACATCATTTTATCCGATTAATGAATAAATTTTCTACCTGATTGACTACTTTTAAGTAGTCTCTTTTATTGTATAGTAGAAAACAAGGTTTAAACAAAAAAGGCCAACAAAAAATAGTGGTAACGTAAGTGAGTATGGAATGTCACGTCAACCGGAGTTTGGGCACAGGTATACCCTATTTGGTTAATCTAATACGAAGAAACTGTTTTAAAACGTAATTTGTTAAGAAATTATCGCAGATTGTTATGTTTTGGACATATTAATTAGGGTCTTGTAAATATATCTCGATCCCGATACCCATTCTTGGTTTCCGTAAGAAGACCAAAACCTTCAAAATATCGTTGAAATACCTTTAAAACAGAAACTGAATAGTTTTGGCCTTTATTGGTGCATTAGATGACAATCATTTTCTCAGTTCTATAACATCCATTTCCCCAGGGTATGCAAAATGTTGCTCAATCCGCGCAATGTTGTGGAACAATGATGCTCGATTTCACGGCCAAACAAAATAGTTCAACAAAAAAAAAACAGTCGCAATGTTGCTGGTATTTGAAGACATTATGCGTGTATAGGCCTTTGTGCGCCCTATTTCGTTAATTTTATATGAAAATGAAACGTAATTTTTAAAGACCTTTTCTCAAATTGATATGTTTTAGACATATTCATGTATATTATTAGTATCTTGTATCATGACCCTGATACCTACGGAGCCTGGGATGACAAACATTTTCTCAATTCTATAATATCCTTTTCCCTAGGGTATGAAAATTAATGTTGCCGGGAATCATTGTTGTCAACCGGTTATTCACCAATAAATACTCGTTTATTATGTGCCGTCGAATGTTACTAGCTATATAGATCTCTCAGCTTTGCCCAGATAATTTTATATGATTAATGAATCAATTTTGATCAAGATGAACTATTTTTAAGTCCTTGAAAATCTTTTGTTTTGACAATAACACGGTTTCAACAAAAATGTTCAACAGTCGCAGTGCTGTGACGTCAATTTTGCTGGTATTCGCAGACTCATTTGTTGTCGACCAGGGTATGGGCATTTGTATACCCTATTTCGTTAATATTATATTAAGATACTGTTTTCCAAGCTGCTTTCAAATGTAATCAATAAAGACCAATAATCAATAAGATTGCATTTTTAAGGCCTATTCATGCATTTGATTAGGTGTTTGTATATGAATCCTGATCCCTGTAGCGATTCTTTGTCTCTGTAAGAAGACCACTAATTGCAAAATATCGTTTGAAACAGAGACTGACTAGTTTCTGCATTAACTAGAGCCTGGGATGACACACATTTCCGAAATTCTATATCATCCACTTTCCCCAGGGTATGTAATCATGGAATTAGCAACCTGTTTGCGTATGGAATGGGACTCATTTGTTGTGAACCGGGTATTGCCAAATTTATTTTCCGTCGAATATTTCAAGTTAATTAGAGCTCTCAGCTTTGCCCACTTAGCTTTATCCCATCGATGAATACATTTTCTACATTTTTAGCAATTTTAAATTGCTTTTAAGTATTGTATTTTGACTAAATCACGGTTTACAACTTAATGTTGCCCGCAACATTGTGTATGGAATTAGTCTTATTGTTGTCAACCGGGTAAAAAAGGTCCTTACCCGATTCAAGTTCGGCTATCGAACTATCGACTGGATACGAGTGGTGCGCGCCAAATAGAAATTGTTTGAAAGTAAATGAGCGAAAAGGATGGAAATGCAATCTATTGGAAGAAATGATACACTTAATACGATTTGTGGGCGAAAATTAAAAAAAAAAAACCCTGCGTATGGAAGTTTCTATACCCTTTCTTCTTAAATATACAATTATGATTCTCCTATCATTAAGTGCAAAATCTGATCCATTTTTTTTTGTATAGTCCATAATTCTCCGCTGGAGCTGTCTACTGGGGGTGGCAAAAGGACAAGCGACATTTTCGCCTGCATATTTCGTCAATATGTATGTATTAATGCATTTATTAAAATGTTCATTATTTTAGTAAGAATATTATTAGATTCCCAAAACTTTACTAACTTGAAACCGATAGATTAGTTTTACAAGGATGACACTCAGCGTCGTACTGCCTCTTGCTCGTCGTACGGTATGTAAAAGTATGCCATCACCATAAAAATGAGCATATCCACGAACATGAGGCCCGCGAAGAGGAAAAACTCGCTGGCCTGCGAATCGAAAAACTTTAGCTCCGCCACAACCACCACGATGATGTTGCCAAAGGCGACGGTCAGCAGCCAGCAGGCCTGCAGCACGGACTTCATGCTGGGCGGGGACTGGGCGTACGAGAACTCTAGTCCGGTGACCGAGAACATCACCTCGCCGAGGGTCATAACCACGTACTGTGGTACCAGCCAGAGGACGTTCATCGAGTTGGGTTCCGTGACCTCAAACATGCGGGAGACAAAGCTGTCCCGGCTCTGGGCTACGATCAGCGCGTAGACGCCGCCGGCTCTCAAACTGACATTGGTC